ACAACGCCGAGTGGCTCACCAGAGAAGAAGGGTCTGTATAACCACTTCTTAGAACCTTTCAGAGTTTGATTGTCTTCCTAAAAGGAGAAAAGCAGGTGGAAAAAAGAGATTTTACTGAGATGATTAAAGAAGATGACGATGGATAAGAAATAGTTAAGCAAGGTTATTATAACAGTTGTTCTGTCAAAAAAGTAGAAAGGGCAATGACTGTAATGTCCTAATTTCCTGTGTAAATTCATCAGACAAATGGCAGACTTTGCTGACTCAACATGAAAATTTGGCCTCGTGTGAAAACCCCTTAAGCTTTGTTGAATTTAGCTGTAGGCATTATAGGTTCCAATTCAGATAACTTTGTAAATGAAATACCTTCCTGACTGCAACTATAGCTATCATGCTTTATGTATCACGTAAGGTAGAAATTAAGTGCTAATAGATTTGCAAAGACTAAGAATTCGTAAGCAGTTTAGAGCATATAATAAATGGAGGTTGTCAACACATCAGGCAGAGTATACCACCTTAATCATTAGTCATTGTAAATCTGGCTGAATGTAGTGATGCTAGATTTGCAGTACGAGATAAGTGCCTGATCTAAAGCAACACATTTTTTTCTTGATATAATTTCTTTGTGCCAAAGAATGTAAAGTGATATAAGTCTAATGATTAATGAGTAAATAATTGTAAATCTGCGAGTAAAGAAAGATGGGTTATATTAATCTATGAAAGGTAATGTGTGGTCTGCATATAGATCTGCTGCATACGTAACATACATAAATATATGGTGTAACAAAGTACTTAACAGCAATGATTCAAAGAATAGACATACTCTCTCTCTCTCTCTCTCTCTCTCTCTCTCTCTCTCTCTCTCTCTCTCTCTCTCTCTCTCTCTCTCTCTCTCTCTCTCTCTCTCTCTCTCTCTCTCTCTCTCTCTCTCTCTCTCTCTCTCTCTCTCTCTCTCTCTCTCTCTCTCTCTCTCTCTCTCTCTCCTCTCTTCGTACTCTATCTGTCTATCTATATGTATATATATATATATATATATATATATATATATATATATATATATATATATATATATATTTGCTGTCATCACTTAAACTATATCTATCGTTTCCTGATAGTATAATTACCACAGATCATATCGGCAGTAATGATAGTGATGAAAAGACCTTACGAAACTAGTTGAGAATAAATATATCATTCCATCTTAAGATATTTGTAAAAGACCATAAGACTGTAACCATATAAAACTACATTATTAGAATATAAGTTAACCGAAAGACGAGTATTAAAGACAAAATAAAAAGCAGAAAACACTTGTCCTATGTAAAAAGTTATATAACTTTGATTTCTGTGTACTCTTAAGACATTTCCTGGCTATGCAGTTTGCACTCAGTAGAACGGAAGAACAATCAAATAAACTGTAACTTTTTCACCTCTCCAAGTATATGAGATGAATAACTGTGTGAGTTACCTGTAATTACGGTAGTGCAGTTTATAATCTTGTATTTTGCTCCTCGGTGTGTCTAATATTATAGAAAAATTCGGCTTTAGAAAGGTGTCCCTTACTTGAACATTGGGTAAGTGATTCCCTAACGCATTTGTTTTCCATAATAATAAGTAGGTGAATTCAGCATATGAGCTCATTTTAAATATGTCGAGTTTGTTGCTTTGATGTTAAAAAGAAACAGCGGACTGAACAACTGATAAGAAAAAAATCGACTCAAGATAATTTTATGACGTAAATAACCGATCAAAGTTTATTGATGTCACTTGAGTATTTTTCAGTTGAACATATTCTGCAAAATCATGCTAAGTTGAAAATTTTACATATTACTCATAGACACACCTTGGACCAAGACAATGTTACATGCCTTTTACCTATGATTGAGTATTTGCTCCTCACTATTAAGTTTGCAAATTCCTTGTGTCACTTGGCTCTTGGGGTCATGTTGATATGTTTACCTGTTACAGATGTCAAATTATAGACGATTTTTGATATTACATTTTTATTTTATTCCTATAAAACCGACGAAGAGTTCCAACAATACATAAAGTTGGGATCAGTTAGATTCTTATATAATTTTGATAATAAATTATCTGTGTTCAGTGCTCAGTACTGTTTGTACACAAATTACCGATACTGGTGTAAAAGTGTGCTTCAAAATGCATGGAAATACTCCAAGAACTCGAGATGTTTTCATACAAGGGATGGCCCATCTGAATCTGATAATAATGTGCATAAGTTGAAACTCGATTTTATTAAAAAAAAAAAAAAAAAACTTCACGCAAACGATCCCCACAATGAAGAGCGAGACTTTCTTAGGCAACCATACTGGCCAAAGATAAATGTTTATGGAAATGCCACATGGGAAATCTGGACACTATTAACACACGTTTATTTCATTGGTCCTTCCTTATTAAAGATATAATAAGAAAGTTCGTAATGATAACGAATATTAAAAGGAAATTAAACCATTTGGGTGCAAATCAATATTCACTACAT